TTTACTGAATAAATCAATTAATAAAATGGATAAAACTCGGATAAATGACTGAGAATTTACTGAATAAATCAATTAATTAATAAATAAATATTTAAGTGGTCTGCTATTCACTGAATGTCAAAATGTGTGGATTTATTAACTGTTAACAGCTATTTTTGGTTAGTATTGAATGTGAATTAATAACAGATACAGCAAGCAAATAATAAATAATTACAATTTTAGATATTTATCTGAATTTAGCCTGGTTCTCTCGATCAATGATATAAATTTCATTGTTTAGCATCTTGAGAAAACCAACTCTTCTACAAATTGCATTAACATTAATTACTTTGAATGCACCTAAATTCCTGAACTTTAATGGACCATGTCCAGAAGGTTGGGGATTTCTAACCCACTGCACATATGCTAGCATGGACCAATGATCATTGTATTGATGTGAAAAATAGTATTGCACCTCTCCAAAAAATTCCTGTTCTTCCAGAATTATTGATGCCTTTGGATTATGAGCATTCTGATCTACCAAGAGCTTTGCCTAAAGAAGTTAATGTTAGTAATAATATGATAAAATGGTAAATTTTTGAAAATTATGAATTAGGAGTATAATATACATACAGCAACACAAAAATTTATGCGTGCTACATCTCCCTTACGATTTGACATCTTTGAATTAATCATTAGTCCATCTTCTGTTTGAAATTTTCCATATTTTTGAACAGAATTTGTGATTGACTTGAAAGTAATAGTAATATATCAAAGACTAGAATTTTTTTTAAATTGAAAAAGCATAAATAAATAGAAATTAGAAATCTTACTACAAGTTGGTTTGCATGTTTGTTCAATGCTGTTATATAGTAAGCTTTGAGGCGCTGCATTTCTGTCTTATTCATGCAATACTTGTGTGATGGTGAGTACAACTTCTCTTTAACACCATCAATGATAAACATGCGATCTTCAGAGCAATCTGGTGTTTCATTCAGACTTGGTCCAAAAAGCTTCTGATTTATTTCAGTCTTGTACTGGAGGTGTGAGAAACGGGTCCATGTAGTAATCTGATTTTGGAGGTTTGTATAGGGATGCTGTTTAGAATGTACCAGAGGCAATAGCATTCCACACAACCTTTCCATTGGATACTGCCAGGTTGCCCATGCAGGTCCAGTGTTTTGTATTGAGGTGGCAATATGTAGCAAATAATGATAAGTGATAAGTGCAGCTGGGAGACATCTGGGATTATTCTGGAGATATTCCCTGTCAAATATTACATATATTAAAATAATGGAATAACAAAATAGCAACATGAATTAGCAGCATAGAAAACATACTTCTCATAATGAACAACAAACTCACAAAAAAGACTATTAATTTCTGATAATTCTGCTGTGCTGATACTTTGTTTGAGACAGAGTTTTGTTGCATGCACAAATTTTGCCCATCCATTTAAATGCCTGAATAAAACCAAAATCATTAAAGATCTAACTCCAAAAAAATTATTATTTATAAGTCTGTCTACCTTTCTGGAAGATGGCCTTGTAAAAGTGGCAGTGAATATAATACCACCCAATTTAACCAGTCTTCTGCTTTGAATGCTGCTGAATGTCGCTGAATATCAATGGGTGGACGACCAAAATCTAATGGCATGTTCCTTCGATTCTTTTCCATTATTCTTCCTATTTCTATCCAATCACTATTAGAAAGGATGTAATCAGAACCAGAACCTTGATCATCTTTAAAAAAAGTACCAGACCAATGTCGAAGCATTGATGGTGCAATATTCTCAAATAATCCATGCATAATGTCAACAGGAAATGATGCTGGAAATTCAATCGACTTGAGTTCAAACAATATGCTTTGGCCATTCAGACCTATGAAAATTTTCTTAATTATTTTGGAATATTCACCAAACATTCAAAACCAATAAACAACATACCTCGTTCTTGTACTTCACGTTTGCGTAATGGCCCATTCATACATTCTACAGCTGTTGCATCACGTATATAGTCTTCATGCATTCGTAATGGAAGATTTTTGGGATCATATTGGTTTCCTAACATACTGGTTGGAGGCTTAAGTGGAAAGTATACATGTCGATTGCCTTTACAATATACTCCACGAATGGAACAAAAACGGCATGCTTTATATGAGTTGTGCCCAGTTGTGTACATAACCTTAGCAAGAGCTGGAAGATCACCAGAAAAACTTAAGACATGTGCATGGAGGGTGAAGTTATTTTCTGTTTTACCATCAAAACACTGAATACCTTCTGCATTCATTATCACAAACTAATATTATAAGTAATTCATTATTAAATTAACATTAATATCATTAATATGCAATCATAATACCTTGCAACAATTTCAGCTCATTAACCAATGGTCGTAAAAAAGAGTTAAAGTTCTTTGGTGCTTTTGGTCCTGGAATAAGTGCAGAAATCATTAAGTTTTCTCGCTGAACACGTATATCAGGTGGTAGATTTGCATTTATGAAAAGTATAACCCAGCAATCATCTCGCTTCTGATGAAAGATTTGATAACCATCAGTGGATGCCATTAGAGCAATATCTCGACAGTCTGAAAAAAGACCAGAAGAAACTAAGGCTTTATATCGAAAACCATCAAATATGTCTCCTATTTGATTACCAAGAGCATATTCATGTGTTGAAGTGTAATTGTGTCGGTAACAGAGAGTTTCTGAACGATTTTTATTTTTGTATTGTATTTGAAGTGAATCCACAAGTGACCAATAGGCTGCCTTTTTTCGGGATACATGGGATGTCTCACCAAACTTGTAACGATGTTCCCCACATTCTGGACAAAGGTTCTCATTAGCAAGTTCTCCTGTAAATGCCACACATGAATTAATACAACAATCTACAAGTTTTGGTTTTAATGGTACAAACTTTCCAAGTAGTTTTTGGAGTTTGTAAAGACTAACACCAGGAATTTCTAAAACTTTAAGAATTTCATTAAATGCAGCTTCTGAGATGTTATGCTTATCTTTAATTCGGAGAAGTTGTAAACCTTTAAGTATGTTCTCTGAAATTATTACCAAAATAAATATATAGTGTAAATGGTATAGAAAAACATTAAAAATGATATGAATTTATTATTATTTCAACTATAAAATTTACCAAAATTTATATGCTCAATGTTATCACTGTCTTCCACATCAACCCTTTCCTTGTTATTTTCCTCTTCTTCATTTTCAAATTGATCAATGTCATCTTCACCATATAATTCTTCAGATATCATATTTTCCTCTTCATTTTCAAATTGATCAATGTCATCTTCACCATATAATTCTTCAGATATCATATTTTCCTCTTCTTCATTTTCAAACTGATCAATGTCTTCACCATATAATTCTTCAGGTACCATACTTTCTTCTTCATTTTCAAACTGATCAATGTCTTTACTAATTAATTCTTCAGATATCAAATGTCTTTGCATCTCCATTTCATCAATATTAATATCTCCTGAAAGTTCTAAATTAATATCATATATACTAGCAAATTCTTTACCACTGTTATCACTGTGATCTTGATCTCCTCCACCTAGAACACTAACAGGTGATGGCAGTGAAGGCACAATTATTGTGGAAGCAAGTGATGCCATTGTATGAGAAACAGGAGTAACCAATCGTCTTTGTGGTGTAGGCATGTTTGTTGGACTAACCCAAGTTTTTTTCTGTTTTGCTGTATGTCTTGCACGAGTTGCATTGCCAACTAATTTACCCTGTCCATTTGACTCTTGAAGGCACCAAACACAAGTACATAGAACTTGTTCAACCATTTTTCGGAAATATATATTAAAATAAATTATGAATTGTGTAAAATAAACTATTGTAAAATAAAATAATTATGAATTGTGTAAAATAAACTATTGTAAAATAAAATAAATATATACACATAGAATAAACTATAAAATAAACTTTGTTATTTATTTTTAATAAATAAATAAAATATTAATTTTAAAATGTCACAAAGAAACATACCAGTTGATGTTTATACACTTCCCGCTGAACAACGTCAACAACTTTTCCTTGCATTATTTGATGCTGACTCAACTTTGCCTAATGTGTTGAATTCCGAACAACGTCGCCGGCTATATACTGTTTTAGTAACTATTGATTCATCTCTTGTAGGTCCTCTTTTAAATACACATGGAGTAACTAATGAACAGGTAGTTGTTTATTTGATTAATATAATTAATAAATAATTATGATCAAATTCATAGAGTATGAGGATTATAAAAAAAACCAAAAACAAATTAAAAAGGAATCACAGTGGCATGAATTCTTGAAACTGGATAAGAAACAATACTTGAATTTTAGGGTAAGTACACTACACTATTGCAGTTTTTCAAATATGTTGGTTTTTAATATACGCCTTATTTTTTAAATAATAATTAATAATAAATCATTATTTGTGGGTATTACACCACAGAATGATCTTCGAAATCGTGCAGCTTCTCGTTTCTCTCGTGGCAATCCCATTTCCCGTCAGCCAAAGGGGAGAGCAGGAGAAGTCATCAAAGATGTAAGTATTTAGGCTTTTGTTCATTGCAGGGGGGATTATTAAGCACCAAAAACTAGTATGAAAAAGAATATTTGCATTTATGAAGAGTACAAACTAACATTTGTTTATTAATCTGCTGGTGTAGTTTAAAGAAGCAAATTCAACATTTCCAATCTCTGAAGCTGATTTCATTCTTCATGAATGGCTTACCTCATACTGTAACAGCACAGGTAAGTGTTAATTTTGAATTTTGATAGTCACTTATTTTGGTTATTGTATTTAAATGTCTGGTTATATTTATATCACTGCTATAGTTGATCAAGCAAAGAAGAAAAAAATTGCTGAAGCAAAAGAACAAGGGTTACCACCACCACTACCAAAAAAAAAGAATGTTCGACCTCCATTGAATTATAAAATAGCACATGAAGTGACTGAAACCTCACAACATTCTAGAGATGCTGCTACCACCTCCGAAATCAGTGCTTCTCCCACTAAAATGACTGTAACTAAAGTTGTTGGTGGAACATCTGATGAAATGCCCAATGCTTCTGGTGAAGATATTTTATATACTTTTATATTCTTACATTTTTATATTTATATTTGCATTTTTTATAGGTAGCAAAGGAAAAGGAAAACAAAAAACAGGAAAAACTTTTCCACAAAATATAAGACATAGCAAGAGAATTAGGAAATAGAGAAAGTAAAATCATCAAAATGTATTCGTAATTAAATTATTCAACAATAAATGCTCAGTTATTCATCACTAAATTATCAACATTCTGTTGTTTTCCATGTGTTTTCAGTTTTCTATGATTTTTAGTGTGTTAATAATTAGTTTCCGTGTGTTTTCCATATTGGTATTATATCATAATCAGCATTCTGTTGTTTTCCATGTGTTTTCAGTTTTATTATTTTCCGTGTATTTTCCATATTGGTATTATAATTAGTATGAAAAAAAAAATGACCGTTTTTATTTGCAGTTAATAATAATAAAAAATTTTCACATTCCGTTTTAATTCCACATTTACAAATGTCCTTATATTAATATAAATGACATCACGGAAAAAATCCAGATTGCTTACTCAACTGATTGCTGCTTTTATGAAATAAACTGAACATTTACGGAGTGATAAACATGATCACGGAGATATAATGGAAATATTCTGGAGTGG